TTCCAAGCTCCCTTCTCGGACGGACCCAGACCCGATCCCTGGCCGAGCGCGGCCTCGAGGTGGACCCTCCGAGGGCGGCCTCCCCATGGTGGGGTTTCGCGGGCATTTCAGACCCGGGAGGCCCGGGTAGAGACCCGAGTCTCGCGCCACGCTCCCGGAGCGCCGGCCGTAGACCCTCCGCGTCCCTAGCACACCGGTGCGCGGCGACAAGACTGGCCCAGCCTGGACCCCAGGACACAGGGTCTTCGCGGGGGCCAACTCCACAAACAGCTCGGGCGTGTGACCTCAGCCACGCGGTCCTTCCCGCACGCGGGCGGCTCCTCCGGCGGCCTGGGTCATCCCGCGTTTCCTCCCCAACCTGATTGGCTTGAGGAGCCAAACCCTGAGGCCCCGCCCTGACAGAGAAGCAGGGTCTCTACCGGAGGAAGCCCAGGGTTGCCCCCCTCCACCCCACCTCCCTCTCAGAAGCTCCTCCGAGGTGGCGGGGCGGGGTGGCGGGGTGGGGGGAGGGGGGAGGTCAGTCAGCGGAACCTCAGGGCCTGCTTCCCTCTGCTGGGCCACCTCCATCAGCACGACTAGGGACAGGGGGCTTGGCCAGGTGAGCAGCCCCAGGAAAGGCGCCAAGGGCCGCTCGGAAAGGAAACCCAGAAATGACTCATTTCCAAACTGTAAACCCATTTTTTATTGATGCTCTAATACTGCGGCCGAATTTGCTCATTAGGATTTTACAGTTTATAGCTGGGCTGCGGTGGCTGGAGATGGGGCAGGAATGATTCTCAGAGCGGTAGGCCTTGGGCAGCAGGCGAGCACCCAGGAGCTTGCACTCCCTCAGAAGCCAGCACTGCTCCAGGCCTCATCAGGGGAGACCACCCTGCTAGGCCTTGTTTCAGGATGGGCTCCCGTGGGTGTCTGCCTGGTGCCCCCCATGTCTGGACACACACGTGGGTGTGCCCCCATCTTGCTCTCTGCTCTGGAGGAGTCACAGCCAAACCGCAGGAAAAACTGGGTAAGGCCACCCCAGGGCTGGCTGCCTCTGGTCGGCTACCTTCAGGCCGCAGCTGGCTGTCATGGGGTCCTCCCGGCAGCGGGAGCTCCCCGAGTCCCTCACTCTGGTCTCCCTGAGGCTGGTGGTCCAGCTGTTCTGCTCAGACTTGCTCCCACCAGCAGCTCCCCCCATGCAGGTGGGTAAGCCCGGGCTCAGCAGAGGTCCAGCTGTGGTTGTGACTTGGGGGGTGCTGCTGGTATCAGGAGCCCCTCCCTTGTCCCACTCATCTTACCAGGAAGTGTCCCTGGGCCCAGTAAGGGGACCTGGGAACAGTTGCTGCTGGAGTGTGAACACCTCGAGGGCAGGGCCCCGACCACCTCCAGCAGCCCCTGTATCTCCTGAGCACCAGGGAAGAGGGCAGAGGCCCTGTCCTCTGGGGCCCATAGTTCCCTCTGGGCAGTGACCCTCAGAGCAGGTGAGCATGCAACCCTGTGCAGGGCTGTGACCTGGAGGGCACGTACCTCCCTGCTTCTCCCTGGAACAGGGCTGGGCATGGACGGCAGGGCACTCTGAGAACATGCCCAGGGCTGTCCCCAGAGGGCAGTGGTCTCAAAGACATGCCCCAGCCCAGGTGGGCTCAGGTCCCCTGACCTGAAGAAGGGCATCTTGGAGACCCTGTTGTGCCCCGGAGCAGAGCCTGGGAGAAAAGTCCCATTGACACGGCTCAGGCTTCAAGGAGGGCAGACAAAGGGGCCCTGTGAGCTCCATGTGGGAACGTGCGGCCGCCACCACGGGCCATGAAATCAGTAGTTTGGGTGCCCCCCAGCTGGATCCGCATGGCCAGAGTGGCCGTAAGAGTCTACCCGGAGGTTGCCTCCTGCCCCACCCAGGGTTCGGTGTAAGGGTCAGACAGGTGTAGCCAGGCCTGCCATCGTGGGGTTCAGGGGACGGTCACACTGTCCCTGGGGAGCTGAAGGAATTCTCCACTGTGGCTGGGCCATTTTGTTCTGAGCCACTCTGCTCCACACCCCAGGAGCTGCCCCATTCGAGGACAGGAGGGGAAGAGGGGCTTGCAGGACACCGGCTCCTACATGTTTGCTGAAGGAACAGTCCGAAAGGAGGACATTTGTTCCAAATGCCTTGGAGGGAGGGGGAGAGGCCCGCCATGGGCCAGGCCCTGCCCCGGGGCTCAGGAAAGCCCCCCTCTGGTGTTTGTGGCTCTCTTGGTGGTGTCACTTCCACAAACTGGCTCTGAGGGAGAAACCCCTGACCTGGGATTTGTGGGGACGCACTGAACCCTGGCTACGCAGCTGGACCCCGTCCTTCTCCGCATCAGCTCTGAGGGTGCTGGCCCAGGGGGTGCCACCCCGCAGGGCCATGGTGGGGTGGAGGCCGGGGTTGCAGGGGGTCCCCTTCTTCCTCTGGGGACCCCCTTCCTTTCCAGGCTCAGAGCAGTGGGGAGCGGGGAGCAACGTGGGCAGGGGTGGGGCAGCCTGGGGAGCATTATGGGATACGGGCTGGGAAGATCTGGGTGGGGCAGCCTGGGGAGGACAGCGCAGAAGAGGCGGCTGGCCAGAGCTGGGCCAAGGCTGCGGCCACCTTAAAGGCACTAGGCAGGGGAGGGAGGGTGAGCAGGCAGGCGGGCAGTGGGGGGGCGGGGCTTCCAGCTAATTCATTAAAATGTGTCGGGGAGCGTGGGAAAGAGGAGAGTGTTTCTTCCCAGCAGCCCAGACACCTGGTAGAAGGGCCGAGAGAGGATAGAGATCAAATAACAAACACTCAGCCCTCGGCCAGAGCAGAGGAAGGACGCCCGGGGCAGGAACTGTGGCAGACAATCAGGGTTCGGCTCTTGCCTGCCCTGCTGGCCGCTCAGGGCACGGCCTGGCTCTAGGACCACAGCCCACCCGGTGGGCATGGTGCCTGACCCCTGGCCTGGGAAGGGGCCTAAGGCTGTCCGGGGGCCTCAGAAGGCTCTTTGGGCTGACCCCCTGATGGCTCAGGACCAGCCGTGTGCCGTGGAGCCAGGCTGGGCAGGCAGTGAGCGCTTGAGCCCCGGAGGGTCCCCGGAGGGAGACAGTGGTCTGGGCAGCAGAGGGGTGGGGAGGTGGGAAGGCAGGCTGGATGGCACATGCGTGGCTGTGAGGGAGGGGCACACTGAGAAAGGGGCCCCACTTGGGCCCCTTACTCTCCTCCCTCTAGAGGGTACACAGGGCAGAGGGATGCTGGGGCTGGGCCTGCCCAGAGGGACAGGAAGGACACTTGGTCTCCTGTCTCCCCGCGCTTGTCCCTGGCTGTGGCCTCTTGTGTTGAGGACCAGCTGCAACCAATGCCAGGGCCTTGGGTCAGAGCAGAGTGTCCAGGAAGCAGCTGGGTTGGGCAGTGGGGCCAGCACCCCTGGCGGTTTCCTCCTTACCCTACCGGGGGAGGAGTGTGCTCAGGGCTGCCCCCTAGGACGGGGCTGGTGGTCTGGCTCTTGGAAGCAGCACCCCAACCACAGAGGGTCCCCACCACTGGTGGGGTCTGGCTTGCCTGCTCACCTTGGCAGCCCTGCCTGGCCCTCAGGCTCAGCAGGGACCAAAGGGTGGGGAAGGCCAGTTTGCAGCCTAGGCCTGGCCCTCTCCTCCGAGCCTCGGAGCCGCTCCCTCCGTCTGTGCAGGGCCATCCTGCTCCAGCTGGCCCCAGAGTGGCTGGGGGGCTGAGCACCTGGCGCCCGGTGGGCACTTCCAGGGAAAGGAGAGGATAGGGAATGTGGCAGGATGTCCGTATGGCCTTTCGGCATGGCCCCCAACCCGGGCAGGGGCAGAGGCAGGCTGGGCATGGCCCGTGCCCACCTGGTACCTGAGGCCACCACACCTGGGCCTGCAGGTGCACCCTGCTCTGGGCAGAGGCGGCAGCCCCGCCCCAGCCCCCAGGCCCCAGCAGCCCCGAGGCTTCCGCCTGGGCTCCTCAGCCAAATCTGAGCTGGTTTCCGCTCAAGGCAGGAAGGACAGGAAAGGGATGTGGGGGGGTGCACATTCCTGGGGGGTGAGCCAGGAGGAGGCAGCGAGGGCAAGATGCAGTCTAGGCTCCTCTCCCCACCCACCTGGCACCAGTGCCCGTGGGCCCTTGGGGTGCCTGCCATGGGCGCTTGCGCCTCAGTTTCCCTCTGAGTGGGCGGAGAAGCCCCTGCTTCCTGCAGCTGTGAGGGGGATGCTCTTGTGTGCAGGGCCCCCCTGTGGCTTCGGCTGCTGCCCTCTTTCATGAGAGGGGGCCACCCAGCCTTGACTGGGGGGTGGGGGTGGGGGAGGAAAAGAGGCCTGTGGGGTCAAGCTCCGGCCAGCGAGGGGGCCAGGGCAGGAGACTCAGAGGTGCCGCCTTCCCTCCAGGCCACGGCCTTCCAGTACACAATGGATGTCTTCCTAGAGGGGGGCTGCCCTGCCCCTTGCACCAGGCAGGGCTGGGGCCCAGTCCCCAGGAAGCCACCCCGCCATCTGGCCTAAAGGGCCCTGCCCCAGCAGGATCCCACCAGCTTACTCCCCGGAACCAGAGGGCCCCGGAGGGTCCTGAGGCCAGCCTGGCTGGGACCTACTTGGGGTCAGGCAGGAAGGTCCTGTCCTGCCTGGCCTGGAGGCTTGGCCCTTGGCCCGAGATGGCCAGCAGGGTGGGGTAGTGGGGGTGGAGTGGGTTAGCGCAGGGGGGGCCTGTGTGCCCCCACCCCCCAGCCTGCTGAGCCCCGCGGACGGGGAGCCACTTGGGTCCCACCCTTGGGCCTTTGTGCAATTTCCTCTACCAGGCGTGTCCTTCCCCCCTTCTGCTGGCCTCATTCCTGAATGTCAGGCGATTCTCGGCTCAGGGTCCGAGCATCCTGACTGTGAGGGAAAACTTGCATCCCCAGTAGCTGTGCGGGGCTGGGACCCTGCTGGCACGCCGGTGGGGGGGGCACCCAGGTGTGCAGGGAGTCGGGGGGCAATGCAGGCCAGTGGGGCCCGCGGCCCTGTCCTCAGGAGGGGTCGCTGGCCGGGTGGCGGCCAGGGGCTCAGCTCTGCGCCCAGGGGCTGGAGGCACCACGCGGGACCTCGCTGAAATGCGTGGTGCTGCGGCCCAGGTGGGTGCCCTCCCAGAAGACCCTGCCACCGCCGGTGCAGCAGAAGGGCTGCAGGCCCGGCCGCCGAAGCACGCCCTCCGGGACCCCTGCTGGCTGCAGCCGGTGCCCGTTGCCCAGGGTGGTGGGCGTGCCGGCCTGCAGGTCGGCCGCCTCCAGTCAGCGGCAGGGCAGGTCATAGCTGGAGCCCCCGGGGGCCTCCTCCGGGGCAGAGCCGGGAGAGGTGGAAGCATCGCTCTGAGCGCTCAGCCTTTGGGTGTCTGGTCCCCACCCCACTCCTTCCGGAGGCTCCTCCCTATGTGGCCCCATCCCCCCAAACGTCTGCCTCATCTTACCCATGGGTCCCTGGCCCTCCCCACTGGTCCTGCCCCTCACCCAGGGCACAGGGACCATCCTCTCTACTGGGCCAGGACACGAACCCTGGCTTGGGCTGGGGCCCTGTGTCCGGAGCCCCACGTGTCCTCCGGGGTGGTCCCAGGGCTCACCTGCCTCCTGTAGGTCCTCGCTCGGGGTGGCCTCATCACCTGTTAATCAATCAGTGTCATCAGGGACTGTCCTAAGGATGGGGCCTGGCAGCCCCTGTGCCCACAGTGCACCTCCGGGCGCCCAGCCTCTCCCCCACCCTTAGCAGAAAGGGCAAAGGGCAGGGGGCTGAGGAGCTTTGGTGCTAGCCCGGTCCCCTCCCATGGGAACTCACACCTTGGAATGTTCTTGGGGCTCAAAGGTCCTTGGGAAACAAGCTCTGGGCGTGAGATTAGCCAATTAGGGCACTTGGGGGCCTGAGAACTGGCGGGTGGGGGCGGGGGCATCCCATCTGTGGCGATGAGCAGATAAGCCACTGCCAGGGGGGCGCGTTTCACAACAGCCCGCACCCCGGTGGGCGGGCAGGGGCCCCGGGGACCTATGGGAGCTCCGGGTGCCAGCAGAGACCCGGGAAGCGAACACTGTGACCCTGCGAGAGGGTCCCTACCCCCACTACGAGCGTGGGGAGACGCCACGGAGACGGCCAGGCCGCGGGCGGCTGAGAAGGCAGCAATGACTGCGGAGCAGGTGGGACAAGGGTCCTCCCCGTTCTGCTGACCTTCCCACTTGGCTCAGCAAACACTTCTGCCAGATGGCTCCAGCTCACCGGCAGTGGGGGCCTGACTGGATGCGCCCCTCACCCGAGCCCCACTGCCTCCTTGGAACCCAGCAAGGCCACGTCCTCCAGCTGGCCTCCCTAGCTTGCCAGCCCGTCTGGCCTCAGCCTCTACCTGGAGGCCCCGAAGGACCAGGGGGCCTGCAGGAGTGCTGCCCACGACCCCAGGACAGTGGGGGCCTCTGGGTGGGCTGCTGGTGGCTCAGAGGGGACGGGAGCCCTGCGCTCCCGCGGACAGCCCCACGCACGCGCTGCTCCTCCCCTCCTGGGCCTTGAACGTGTCAAGGCCACACTGCGGAGAGCTGAGAGCGGCTGGGGCTGGACACAGGCCATCATGACGGCTCACCTGAAGAGTGAGTGGCCCCCGCTCTGGCCCCAAACCTCTGAGGGAGGCGGGAAGAGCAAGTAGGGATGTCAGCATCCTGGAGAGGCACCCAGGTCTCAGGCTGACCCACCCAGAGAGTGTCCCAAGACACCCTTCTACACAACCCATGCTTGGCCTCCCCCGAGGAGGGGCTGGGGGCCAAGGGAGCACCAGTCAGGCTCCCGCTGGTGCCCCCTCCACGGGGCCCTTCTCTCTAGAGGATGGAGGTGCCGTGCTGGGACTGACCCACACTCGCGGCCCTGGCCAGCAGCTTTGAAGTCTCTGTGTGCTCTGCACCCTTTTCTTGCTAGTTTTACAAACTCGGAAACTGAGGCTGGGGGGTGGACCTCTGGGGTTTGCCCTCCTTCCTGTCTGTCCCGGCTCGGCTACCTTCCGATCGCTTAGCGAGTGCCGGTGGTGCAGAGGTGTGCAGGCAGATGCCCACGTGTGCCCGTGTGCGCGCATGAACAGGTGTGCATGTGCGTGCTCTCCCCGCGCAGGGCCTCCGGGACAGGGGTGGGGAGCACCACCCAGAGGGGTGCGGAGTGTCGGAGCTTCCCGTTCCCCCGGGCCTGTGACCTTTGCACGCCATGCGCTCTGTCTTTCCACCAGCCCCTGGCCACACGTGTACTTCCATCCTGGGAGTACCCAGTCGTTGGGCCCCTGTCTGCAGACCCCACAGAGCCCACGCCCACCCCGTGGGGCACACCCCCCCCGTGCTGCTGGGGCCTTCCTGGTGGCTGCTGAGCCGCAGCAGCTGCCACGTCATGTCCTTGGGGACCTTCAGGTACTGGTCACAGTTACAGGCCCAGGGACAGAGGGGCTGCCGAGGCCAGGCGAGGCTCCTTCCCTCCTCCCGTCCACAGCCTCACGCTCCTGGTAGCTCTGGGTCTGGCTAGGGGATTTCACAGACACAAACAACACATCCCTTCCTGTCTCTGCGAGACAGGGCACACCACCTCCTGGGAGCCCTCCTTGACTGCTCTGGATCCCAGTGGGCCCTGGGTAACCTTTTCTGGCTCCCGAGACCCTGTGGCACTCTGCTATCACCTGGGCTGTTTTCCCCAACCCCCAGAGTCTTGAGGGCAAAGCCAGGCCTGGGTGGCCCCGGGCTGGCTCAGCATGGTGGGGGACACAGGGCCCAGCATTAAGGGTCAGGGTAAGCGGCCCCACAGCTGAGCCCGCAGCTGGTCTTGGGGTGAGCCAGGCCATTCAAGTGTCCATGTTTCTCGACACTGCCTGTGCCCATGCCCAGTGGGCACCGCGTCCTGGGATCAGGGGGGAAGCCACTTGTGCTTCTCGTTGGGGTCCTTGTCTAGGACACGCCATGGGTGAGGGGTTGAGCTCAGCCCTGCTGAACGTGCGGCGACCCTGGTGGAGGCGGGGGATCCTGGGGCCCGTCCTGCTCTCCCCACACAGTTGCCCCAGGGTTGCTTTCTGATGGGCCCTGCCTGACAGGGTGAGGGACCCCAGGATTCCCGGGGTGAGGTGGGGAGGGCCCCGAGGGAGAGCGGGAGGGGCCGGGCCCCTAGAGACCTGGCTGGCAGGCAGGTAGGGACAGGTACCCATGGAGACATGCACACCAGTCACAGCCCTTCCAGACCTCAGAGCAGCCTGCAGGAGGAAGCAGAGCCGAGAGCAGGGCCTGGGGGGTTCCCAGGCCTCAGGGAGGAGGGGCCGTGATCTGTACTCACGGGATCCCTCTCGGCCCCCGCCTGGAGGAGCCTGGCTAGTGCCCTGGATGACATGGCTCCCGGGGGTGGGTGGGTAGGTGGCAGCCACGGGCCCCTGGAGCCTCAGGGTGTGCCCACGTCAGAGGCGGTGCCCCCCCCTGCCCCCACATGCCCTTTTCCCACGGGCCTTTCGACACTGTGAGCTTGCTTTACCTGTGGCCTCATGGCTCCACATCCAGCATTGGGAGCCAGGGCCTGGGAGTGCAGGACGGGTGGGGTGGCCTCGGCTGGGAGGCCTCGGTGGGGCTGGGGTCGGGCTGATCCCAGGCAGGACCCTCCCTCCTGCTTCTCTGGGGGCCCCCTGTCCCCCTGGCCACCTCTGCCAACCAGACCCTGGGCCGGCCTGTGACCCAGGGAGTCTGCGGGGGCGGGGGGTGCCTGGCCTCCTGGTCAGGGATCCAGCGACCTTCCTGGGGTAGAGCCCCGGGTGCCCGTCTGGCCTGTGGTCATTCCAGGTCCAGCTGGGGAAGGAGCGGAGCACCAGTGGGCTGCCCAGCACAGAGGCCCACGTTCTCCCTGTGCAGGTCCCCCAAGGGGTCAGAGCCAGTAGGTGTGAGAGGGACGGGGCATTGGCAGGAGGGCGGGATCCTCTCCGAGCGCTCTGCCAGCCTCCCAGGACCTGGGCCTGGTGCTCACACCTGGGCGGGGCTGCCAGCTCAAGCTGAGTCACTGCACACAGACAAACGACGGGTGCCATCCACAGGGACCTGGCCCCACCCTCGGGAACCACCGGTGCTGGTTTTCCCACGGCTGCTGCCCACTGTCACCTCATAGGGCCCTGGGAGGCCCTGCCCTACCCCCACTTCCATCTGGAAAAGCCGGTTCTGCACTCTCACCCCCTCTCTGCCCTGCATTCCCCATCTGTCGGAAGGACCAGCACCTAGGGCCTCTCTGTCCACCTCCTGTCCACCGGGGGGCCCGGCAAGCCTTGCCCGACCGCCTGCTGTGGGCGGGCAGCGGCCGCCCCTGGAGCAAGGCTGCGGCCCTGCCCTTTGGGGTTCATGGCCCAGTGCATGCCTGCTCACGGACTTGGTGCCGGGCCAGCAGAGGCCCCCTCCTGACACCAAAGCGGTAGAGCCTTTCGCTCTGAAGAAAGGGGACTTCTTGAGGGGCTGAGTCACTTGGTCACAGTCACAGAGCCCTCGGCTAGCTAGGGCCCCACACCGGGCCCTCACACTGACCCCCAGGAGCAGGGTGTGCCTGTGGTACCTAAGCCACGCCCACTCCTCCTTGCGGGACACACAAACCCTGACTTTGGGATGCCGGTGGGTCTGGGCGGACAGCCGTGGGGGTCCCGGGGGAGGCCCTGGACAGGGGCTGGGTGGTATGGTCTTGTGAGTCCGCCCGGTCTCTGTGCAACCCCTCATTCAGTCTGGGAGCCTGAGGGCAGGGTTGGCGTCTACGCCCAGAGCCCGGCGAGGTGGGAGGGGCCAGGTAAGTTGGGGGCAGGAGGGGCTGGGAAGGCTTCTGGCCTCCCTGTCGCAGGGGTCCATCTGCCTGCCTGCTTCCCACAGCTCCTGCAGCTGCTCAGAGCCAATGCCTGCCGTGCTCAGGGCACCCCGTCTTCCTGGGGACGCCTCAGGCAGGGGCACGAGCCCACGAGTGGGACATTGTCTCCTGGGGGCTGGGCCACCAGCAGGGGCTGGTCCTGGGGACTGGTGGGGCCCTTGGACCCACGGTTAGGCAGGCCTGACCTTTCGGTCCACCCTCTGCAGCCCCCTGCTCCTCCCTAGGGCCTCAGGAGGGTGGGAAAGGCCTGCTCTGGTCACTTCTCCAGCAGGTTTGGTTCTCTGGGCTTCTTGGGTGTGTGAGGAAAGGGTACGGCAGGTGCCTGGGATAGCTGTCCATTCCTCTGAGGCTAAGACTTGGCAGGGGGCAGCTGGGGGGCTTTGAGGGGCCAGTTCCCAGGTGTGGGGAGCCGTGCCCAAGAGCGGGTCTGCGCTCAGCTCTGAGCCCAGGAATCACAGCCACACCCACCCACAGGGGTGGTCGTGGCCAGCAGAACCACAGCTGAGCAAGAGGCAAGCTCACCGCATCTGTCCTGAGCTCTGTGTCCCTGGAACTGTCTGTGTTCCCACCCCCTGGGCACCCACCACTCCTAGTTGCCCACCTGCTCCGGGTCCCCACCTCCCCCGAATACCCACCTGCCCCAGGCGCACATACGTGGCCCTGGGCTGTGGGCCTGTGGGGGTCTGCCGTGTGCAACCAGTGGACAGCCGGGACACCAGTGTGGAGAGTGGAGAGGGCCAGGCCCCAGCCAGGGCCACAGAACGTGAAGAGCAGGGCAGGAGGCGGCTCCGCCCCAGGGCCTACCAGCCCCTCTCAGGGCTGAGGGCAGCCCTGGCTAAGTTCTGTTGGTCGCCTAGAGGGAGAGAAGAGGGTGGTATAGGGACTGCACCTGGGGCTCACCACGGCATGGGGCATGAGAGAGAACCCATGTTCCTCAGGGTGCTGGGCAGGAGGGAGGCACCTGCCTAGGCTGGGAGCCCAGCGGAGGGACCCACTCTTAAGGAGGATGTGGGTGAGGCTCCGGGCTCAACCAGCAGGCAGGCCTATGACCCGAGCTGCCCACTGCAGGCTGGCCCCATTTTCTCTGCCCAGTGGGCACCTGGCGCAGCTGAGAGTTGCAGGCCCACCTCCCAGCTGGGAACTGGGCCGGGCCACGCCAGGGTCCTGCTGTCAGGGCTTTCCACTCTCCCGAGCGAGGGGTGGGCTCGTAGAAACCTGCTCCTGCCTCATGGCAGGTGCTGTTCGGGCTCCAAGCAGGGCCCTGGCAGCCCCTGGAGCCCCCACCCTGGGTAAGGGACGGGAGGACGAGTCGGCCCGGTACCCAGACCCTGGAAGGCTGTGTTCTGGGATTTTCTGACCCCACAGGCAGGGTGGATGGGGGCTTCGGCTCAGGAGCTGTGACATGCTCTAGAGTAATGGGCCGTTTCTTGCTCCTTTAGAGCAAATTAGGAGAAGAGCAAAGCATAAAAAAAAGCAGAAGAAAATAAACTTCCCCTCAACCCACCACCTGGTGGGAAAAGCCAGCATGGCAATGAGAAGGGCTTCCGTTTCCGGCACCTTCCCAGAGCACACCTACGCGCAGCCAGCGTCTCAGACGCTCACGTCAGGGGAGTGGGGGCCCTGGTGGGTCTCAGCCCTAGGACACCAGTGCCGCTCTTCCCGCGGTGTGTTCTGCCCATTTGGTCCCCGCCTCCCCTCACGGTCCACACTTGCTGTTCTGAGAAGGGCAGGCCCTGAGGCCTTCCCTGGCTGGCTTATCCACCGTGACCCCTCCAGAGCCACCCCAACAAATGGTGCCGGGTGCAGGGCCAAAGGGCTGGGATGAAAGACCCCTGGCCTGGGGTGTTGGCCTGACACCTCGCTGGACGGGGCGGGACGAAGCCCCAGGGGGAAGCAGTGAGGCCTGGGTCCGCTCCACACCTCGCTCTCCCACGCTGTCCCGGCAACACCTCGTGGGGCCCTGAGCCATCTGCCCGCTATGCTGGGGCCGTGACCCTCCAAGACAAGAGCATCAGCCAGCTTTGCCCACGAGGACCCTGCTGGCCCCCGGCGTGGGATGTCGCCTGATTTTCCACTGGAGACAGGCCAAGGGGCCAGGGGGGTGGGTGGGCTGCAGTTGCGGCCGGCCCACAGCTGAGATGCTTGGGACGTCTGTGGGGTGTCATCCCCATCCTGCTCGCCAGGGACAAATGCTGGGGCAGAAGGGCCAGGCCCCAGGCCCTGGGGGGTGGGGTGCGTGGCTACAGATGCTGGACTGGACTTTGAGGGAAGGTTTTGTTTTGCTTTGTTTTTAATATTTTATTTATTTGAGAGAAAGAGACAGAGATAGTGAGAGAGAGCAGGAGTGGAAGGAGAGCGAGAAGCAGGGAGCCGATGCGGGGCTCGATCCCAGGACCCCGGGACCCTGGGCCCTCCTTATTGTTGGGTTTTAAAACCTTCCCATGGGGCGCCCGGGGGGCTCAGTCGGTGAAGTGTCTGCCTTTGCTCGGCTCGGGTCAGGACCTCCGGGTCCTGGGATGGAGTCCCGGGTCAGGCTCCCTGCTCAGTGGGGAGTCTGCTTCTCCCTCTGCCTCTGCCGCTC